CTTTATCATTCATAATCCTAAAAAAGTTGGCATGTTTCACAAGCTTGCACTAATTACTCAGCACATTCTTTCCAGACTAATACACATTTAGCTTTCTGATACATCATTCAGTTTTCAAATGACTTTTTGATTTTTTAAAATAGTATTTATTTACCTATTGAAAACGTTTCTATATCACTTTTTTTAAAAAAATTTGATTTAGTCCTTCTCCGGAGACTCAGGGCGGCTTACAATGTGCTAAGCAATAACCTTCATCCTTTTGTATATATTTATACAAAGTCAGCTTATTGCCCCCACAATCTGGGTCCTCATTTCACCTACCTTAGAAAGGATGGAAGGCTGAGTCAACCTTGAGCCTGGCGAGATTCGAACCTGCAGTAATTGCAGGAAGCTGGTCTTAATAACAGGGTGCTTTAGACCACTGTACTACCAAGGCTGTTTTTAACTTCCCCTTAAAGAAAGACATCAAAGATTTTTCAGATTGTAACTTCTTTGATACTGTTCTTTATCATTGTAAAAAAACTAGACCTTATTGAATGCAAGTAGTCCTCGACTTACGATGGTAATTGAACTCAAAATTTCTGCTGCTAAGTGAGAAATGTGTTAAGTGAATTTTGCTCCATTGTATGACCTTTCCTGCCACATTTGTTAAGTGAATCACTGTGGTTGTTAAGTTAGTGACACGGTTGTTAAGTGAATCTGGCTTCCCCACTGACTTTGCTGGTTAGAAGGTCGCAAAAGGGGATCACGTGACCCCGGGGACACAGCAACCGTCATAAACATGAGTCAGTTGCCAAGTGTCCGAATTTTGACCATGTGACCATATAGGGTTGGTGCAACGGCCATAAGTGTGGAAAAAATGGGCATAAATCCCCTTTTTTTCAGTGTTGTAACTTTGAACGGTCACTAAATGAACTGTTGTAAGTCAAGGACTACCTGTGCTTGTAGAATCAGAATATTCTCTCAAAACAAACCTTCCAACTCTGTTATTTTATTCATGTCAGGAAATTTTTCCTCAATTCTAGGTTGGGATCTCTCTTTGATAAACCTTCCAACTCTGTTATTCTATTTCTATTTCCAAGTAACTGTTGTGGCCTGTCGGCCGCTGGCCCCACCAGCAGCCAAATCAGAGGTGGAGGAGGCGTGGGAGTCAGGGTCAGGCAACCTGAGAGCTCTGGGGGGAAGAGGGATGGAGCTGGGAGAGAGAGAGAGAGAGAGAGAGAGAGAGAGAGAGAGAGAGAGAGAGAGAGAGAGCCTGGGCCATCCGTCAGCCCTCAGATGGAGAGTCAACAGCCCATAGATCTGGAGGTGGCTGATGAGGAAGAGGAGGAACAGCTGGGTCCAGTGCCTGACTCGTGGATGCACAGAAGGGAGAGGAGAGGAGAGCAGTGGAAATCCGTGGGCTGATCCTTGGGAAGGAAGAGCCACCGCTGCTAGCAAAGCCCCACCCTAGCTCTGGGGATAAAAGGCAGGGGGGTGGAGATGAATAGGTGTGGCAGACAACTATTAATCTTCCAGCCGGACAGACTTGTTAGCTTGCGGTGAGAGAGAAACTTTTTGCCGGGGCTGCCGGCACTCCGAATAAAGGAATCTTTGAGTTAACTTCAGAAAGTTTGTGTCAGGTTTCGATGCTATCTCAAAATAAATGAATTTCCAAACTGCCGACCTTTAAGGAAATTTTCTCTTTATTCGAGCACAGCAATCTGATCCTGACTCAGTTTGTTGTGTTTGGAGAGCTGGGTCAGAACAGTAACATATAATCCAATTAGAAGTGACTAATCATAAGAAGTAGTACTGCTGTATACGTTTATTCATATTGAGGATTGACTGTAGAGAATGTTTCATTAATTCTCCTCTGAAACAGGACATCTCCTATGGGAAAAGTTCTGAAGCCAAGGACGTTCTCAGTTGAGGCATTTCACTTTCCTCCTAAGAGGGAAAATGGAAACTTGGCAAAAGAGGAAGCAGAACGAATGCATTTCCCCACTTATTGTATTGCTGGAAATAAAGGGCGATGAATAACGGATCCTTTTGTTGGATTTAGAGAACTGAAAACATTAGGATAGGATAGGATAGGATAGGATAGGATAGGATAGGATAGGATAGAATAGAATAACAGAATTGGAAGGGACCTTGGAGGTCTTCTAGTCCAGCCCCCTGCTTAGGCAGGAAACCCTGCACCACTCCAGACAAATGGTTATCCAACATCTTCTTAAAAACTTCCAGTGTTGGAGCATCCACAACGTCTGGAGGCAAGTTGTTTCACTGGTTAATTGTTCTAACCGTCAGGAAATTTCTCCTTAGTTCTAAGTTGCTTCTCTCCTTGATTAGTTTCCACCCATTGCTTCTTGTCCTGCCCTCACGTGCTTTGGAGAATAGCTGGACTCCCTCTTCTTTGTGGCAGCCCCTGAGATATTGATACACTGCTATCATGTCTCTCCTAGTCCTTCTCTTCATTAAACTAGACATACCCAGCCTCCAGTTTTAGCCTCCAGTCCCCTCATCATCTTTGTCGCTCTTCTCTGCACTCTTTCTAGAGTCTCCACATCTTTTTTACATTGTGGCGACCAAAACTGGATGCAATATTCCAAGTGTGGCCTCACCAAGGCATTATAAAGTGGTATTAAACCTTCATGTTGAGAACAATCAATGAAACAACTTGCCTACAGAAGTTGTGGGTGCTCCATCACTGGAGGTTTTCAAGAAGAAATTGAACAGCCATGTGTATGGAATGGTATAGGCCCGTGATGGCGGACCTATGGCACACGTGCCACAGGTGGCACACGGAGCCATTTCTGCAGGCACACGAGCCGTCACCCTAAATTAGCTCCACCGAACATGTGCGCGCACTTCCTGCCGGCCAGCTTATTTTTTGGGTCTCTGCCGCGCATGTGGGAGACGTGCGTGCATGGCCATGCCACCCCATCCCTCCCAGGAGTCTCCACGCGGCCCGTTTTGGATGCCAGGTAAGTACAGGGCTCGCGTGGAGGCTCTGGGAGGGCAAAAAACGGGCCTACTGGAAGTCTGGAAACGGGCCGTTTCTGGCCTCTGGAGGGCCTCCAGAGGGCAGGGGGAGGCCGTTTTTGCCCTCCTGGAAGACTCCAGGAAGACTCTGGACCCTCCGGAGCCTCCAGAGGGCAAAAAACGGGCCAACCAGAAGTCTGGAAATGGGCCAGTTCCGGTCTCCAGAGGCTTCAGGGAGGCCTGCTAGGCCTAAAACGGGGCGCAGGGGGGGTATGGGTGCATGCACGGGGGGCATGGGCGCATGCACAGGGGGCGGGACAGCACAGAGGCATCGCGCATGCATGCATGGGGTGGCGGGGCATGTGGGAACATTGCATGATGGGTGTGGGCACGCATGGATGCAACTCCCCCCCGCGTTCCCCCTGCTTTTGGCATGCGATGGCAAAAAGGTTTGCCAACACTGATATAGGCTCTCCTGCTTGATCAGGGGGTTGGATTAGAAGACCTCCAAGGTCCCTTCCAACTCGTGTTATTTTGTATTCTATTCTCTATTCTGATTCTTTTTCACCCTCTCAGAGTACAAAACCGACAGCTAGGAGTTGACAACTTCTCAACCTCCTTTATAGAGGTTGGGAGACCTCAGAAAATGGCGGCTGTCCAAATGACTAAGTGCTCTTGATACAGCACTGCTGACATGAGGGAATTGGCCATGACAGCTCATGACCAAGACGGTCAATCAAAAAGCCATGAAGATATTATTTTGACTCATTTTGTAGACCACGTTTTGGATGATGGAAATGGAAGGGCTCAGACAGAATCAGGATCCAAAGTAGGTCATGTGTTCAAGCAGAACTGGGCCACCAGTGAACTGGCCTGAACATGTTATGAGTTTTGTATAATAAACAGGAATCTTGGCGTCCTCCTTGATTCACGGCTGTCCTTGGTCGATCATCTGACGGCTGTGACAAGGGGGGCTTTTGCATAGGTTCGCCTGGTGCACCAGTTGTGCCCTTTCCTAGACAGGGATGCCCTCCGTACAGTCATTCATGCTCTCATTATTTCTCGGTTGGATTACTGCAATGCCCTCTACATGGGGCTGCCCTTAGGGTGCACCCGGAGGCTCCAGGTGGTCCAGAATGCGGCCGCGCGGGTTGTTATGGGAGCTTCCTGTTACTCCTGTGTAACACCTCTCCTGCGCGAGCTGCACTGGCTGCCGGTGGCCCTTCGGATCCGCTTCAAGGTGCTGGTACTTACCTATAAAGCCCTTCATGGCATGGGCTCAAGGTACTTGCCTGACCACCTCCTACCGGCCTCCCACCGCCCAGTGCGCTCACATAGGACTGCCCTCCTCCAGGTGCCGTCGGCCAGACAATGTCGGCCGGCGGCCCCCAGGATGAGGGCGTTCTCTGTGGTCGCACCGACCCTCTGGAATGGGTTACCCGCCAGGCTCTGGACGGCCCCCGACCTCCGCACTTTCCACGCCGACCTGAAGACATGGCTTTTTCAGCAAATTCCCTGATCTGCCGCGAGGTTTTAATTGTCTGGGGATTTTAAATTGGCTTGTTTTAGCACTATTTTATTGTTATGTTGTTTCTATTCTGTGAGCTGCCCCGAGTCCTACGGGAGAAGGGCGGCATATAAATTTGATAAAATAAATAAATAAATAAATCATAGGGCTGGAAGGCACCTTGGAGGTCTTCTGGTCCAACCTCCTATTCAAGATGAAAGACTGTATTCCATCCCAGTCAAATGGTTGCCCAGTCTATTCTTGAAAACCTCCAGTGATGGAACACTCAAAACTTCTGGAGGTAAGCTATTCCACTGATTAATTGTTCCCACTGTCAGGAAAATTCTCCTCAATTCTAGGTTGGATCTCTCTCTGAAAAGCTTCCACCTATTACTTCTTTTTCCTGCCCTCTGGTGCTTTGGAGAATAAGTCAATCCTCTCTTCTGTGTGGTGGTCCCTCAAGAACTGGAAGACTGTTATTCTAAGACATTCTGCTGATTTCTCTTATGTTCTTTTTTTTTCCAGAATGAAGTGTCTCAGAATCTCTCCTTGGCCCATCTATTAATTTATTTCTGTCCCACAAAATCCTTTCTACTGAAGACCAAAATTTCAGCCTTCAACCACAAGGATCCAAGCCAGCTTGAGGAAGGACAAGAGAAAGAGAGAGAGACAGAGAGACATCTGAGAACATCAACTGTCCCCGTTTGATAGAAATGTCTCACAAGATGGTGGGAGAAAATGGCTTCCACTGCACCCACAAACTTATTTTCTCCAACGCGCCCAATTCCGTGGAGAACAGCCCTCCTTTTGACAGCCCCAGTCCCCAGGAATCCTGCCCCACTCCTTTGAGCAATGGGACCTTCTACTCCAACACAAACAGTCCTTCGGATTCCTGCATGAAGCCTCTCTGTGAGGCGACGTCCCACAATGAAAACGGATTCAACGGCGGCATTAAATACGTCTCCACCGATCGGGAGGTCCTGGTGTGCGGGTGGGGAGGCTTCACCCCAAGTTGTCTACAGTTTTTCAACACCCCCAAAGGGGTTCTCTTCTTTTTGTGCGTGGCTTCCTTCTTGCAAGGTATGACCGTCAACGGCTTTGTTAACACCGTCATTACGTCGATCGAGCGGCGCTTCGACCTCCAGAGCTACCAAAGCGGATTGATTGCCAGTTCCTACGACATTGCGGCCTGCGTGTGTTTGACGTTTGTCAGTTACTTTGGGGGCAACGGGCATAAACCGCGGTGGCTGGGCTGGGGAGTTTTGATCATGGGGATTGGCTCCCTCATTTTTGCCCTGCCTCACTTCACCACCAGCCAATATGAAGTCCATTTTTCGGAAGAGATTGGCACGTGCTCCTCCAATCAGAGCGCGTGGTGCTCAGAAAGTGTCTCCACCCTCTCTAATTATCAATTTGTCTTCATGCTTGGTCAGTTTCTACATGGGATTGGAGCAACGCCACTCTACACCCTTGGGGTGACCTACCTAGATGAAAATGTCAAGTCCAACTATTCTCCTGTGTATATTGGTAAGTCCTGTGGTCTACAGAATGATGGAATGGGTAGGAGGATGCCATCCAACAAATTTTATTATCTATCTATCTATCTATCTATCTATCTATCTATCTATCTATCTATCTACCTACCTACCTACCTACCTACCTACCTACCTACCTACCACGGTGATGCAGCAATTAGAGTGCAGTACTGCAGGCTACTTCTGCTGATCATCGGCTGCCAGCAGTTTGGGAAATCGAATCTCACCAGGCTCAAGGTTGACTCAGCCTTCCATCCTTCAGAGGTGGGTAAATTGAGGGCCCAAATTGTTGGGGACAACAGGCTGACTCTATAAACCAGTTAGAGAGGGCTATAAAGCACTGTAAAGCAGTATATGAGTCTAAATTCTATTGCTATTGTTATTTATCTATTTTGTTGTTGTTAGTTGCGAAGTCGTGTCCGACCCATTGCAACCCCATGGACAATGTTCCTCCAGGCTTTCCTGTCCTCTACCATCATCTGGAGTCCATTTAAGCTCACGCCTTCTGCTTCAGTGACTCCATCCAGCCACCTCATTCTCTGTTGTCCTCTCCTTCTTTTGCCCTCAGTCTTTCCCAGCATTAAGCTCTTCTCCAGTGTGTCCTTCCTTCTCATTAGTTGGTCAAAATATTTGACTATCTATCTATCTACCTATCTATCTATCTATCTATCTATCTATCTATCTATCCATCCATCCATCCACCCACCCACCCACCCACCCACCCATCCATCCATCCATCCATCTATTTATCATCTAGCTAGCTAGCTATCATCTCTCTAAGGCAGCTTATAGACATTGAATGAAATAGCAATAGCACCTACTTATATACCCCTTAGCAGCCCTCTCTGAGCAGTTTACAGAGTCAGCCTCTTGCCCCCAACAATCCGGGTTCACATTTGACCCACCACGGAAGGATGGAAGGCTGAGTCAACCTTGTGCAAGTAGTCCTTGATTACTGGTGAGATTGAATGGTGGGAGTGGATCTGACCTTGAAGGGCAAGATGTTCCAGAGGATGGGGGTCACAGCCAAAAAGTCTCCTCTTCTGGAGCCCACTAGCTGCAGGGGTCTGGCCAGATGTAAGGATACAAGGGTAGAATGGTAACTTACACGTTTTAAAACTTCATTTCCTCGCTTGTAAGATAATGAAATGTCTGCAAGAAAACCACCAAGATCAGAGAGCAGCAAGATGGGTGGGTGGGGCTACATTCGGTGTATAAGATGCACCTAAATTTTCACCCCCTTTTAGGGGGGAAAAGTGCGTCTTATACTCCGAAAAATATGGTAATTGGTGAAACAGTCCAAGAGAAGAAACCATGGTCGAGGTTCTCCAGTTGATGGTCACCTATTGGGAATGAATCCTCTGGGTCATGTAGTCATATTGTCCAGGAGGTTGGATTAGAGCAGTGTTTCTCAACCTTGGCCGCTGGACGATGTGTGGACTTCAGCTCTGCTGGCTGGGGAATTCTGGGAGTTGAAGTCCACACATCGTCCAGCGGCCAAGGTTGAGAAACACTGGATTAGAGCAAAGATCTCCAAACCTGGCAACTTTCAGACTTGTGGACTTCAATTCCCAGAAATCCCCAGTTAGCCATGATGGCTGGAGAATTCTGGGAGTTGAAGTCCACAAGTCTTAAAGTTGCCAGGTTTGGAGACTCCTGGATTAGAGGACCAGTTGAATCCCTTTCAACTTAATGACTGAACGAAACTTGGAGAAGGTTATAGGCTCCTGCGGTGGCCTTCTTTGTCCTAATTTGAGCCTAAGCAAACGCCAAAATCTTCCATGTTGAACTTTGCCCAATATCATAGTTGTGTCTTTCTCTTTTCAGCTGTTTTCTACACCGCTGCCATATTGGGCCCAGCAGCTGGCTACTTGGTTGGAGGCATCTTTCTCAATATTTACACTGAAATTGGGAGACAGTAAGTTCCTGGCCCACTTTCTCTTTCCTTCCGTCAGCCCTTCCAAAATTCCCAGGGAACCTTCTACCCCCATTTCAATATGAGCCTTGGTAGTACAGTGGTCTAAAGCACCCTGTTATTAAGACCAGCTGCCTGCAATTACTGCAGGTTCGAATCTCACCAGGCTCAAGGTTGACTCAGCCTTCCATCCTTTCTAAGGTAGGTAAATTGAGGACCCAGTTTTTGGGGGCAATAAGCTGACTTTGTATAAATATACAAAAGAATGAAGGCTATTGCTTAACGCATTGTAAGCCACCCTGAGTCTCCGGAGAAGGGCAGCATATAAAATCAAATTTAAAAAAAAAATACTTCCATCAGGTAGAACCAAAGTCAGTATCAACAGGGATGTAGCTTCAATAAATGTCAGTGTTTTCAGACAGGTATTTCAAGTGAGATATTTCAATGTAAATCTGGATATCCGGACATTCATTATGCAAGTTCAAGCATCTTCTAGGCCAGTGATGGCAACCTTTACGGCACCGAGTGCCGAAAAGGGAGCACGCTTTGCGCACGCATGTCCACTTCAAGGGTGGGTTCTATTTACCTTTACTACCAGTTTGCAACAGGGCTGCACAGAAGCTTCCTGATGAGATCGGGGTCAGTGGGCGGAGCTTCCCGCCAGTTTTACTACCAGTTTTTTTTTTTTAATTTGATTTATATGCCGCCCTTCTCCGGAGACTCAGGGCGGCTTACAATGTGCTCAGCAATAGCCTTCATCCTTTTTGTATATTTATACAAAGTCAGCTTATTGCCCCCACAACTGGGTCCTCATTTCACCTACCTTAGAAAGGATGGAAGGCTGAGTCAACCTTGAGCCTTGGCGAGATTCGAACCTGCAGTAATTGCAGGCAGCTGGTCTTAATAACCAGCTTAATAACAGGGTGCCTTAGACCACTGTACTACCAAGTTCTTGCGAACCGGTCTGAACCAGAAGCAATCCACCACTGGTGAACTTGTTAGGACTGCGACCAGGAACAGGAGCTGCCCAGAAGGCATGCGCATGCCAGATAAGGTACTTCTGGTTTCCGGAGCACGCATGTGCGCCGGCCAACAAGTCTTCCGGTTACTGCCGCGCATGTGCACACGCCTATCAGCTGGCCAGCGTGCATGCTCACACCGGAAAATGGAAGACCAACTCTTCCCGTTTCCAGCACTGCCGCATGCACAAAGGCCAGCTGATTGTCGCATTCGTATGTGAGCCAGAAACATGGAAGAGGAACAGGTGAATGCTACACATGCCAGGCAACATGGCTCTGCATGCCACTTCGGGCACGCGTGCCATAGGTTCACCACCATGGTTCTAGGCCAGTGATAGCGAACCTTTTCAGCACCAAGTGCCCAAACCACATGCATGTGCGCGCACTGGAGTGCCGGAAACCCGAAGACCAGCTGACTGGTGCACATGCCAGCTGGTCTTCGGGTTTCCGGCACGCACATATGCACCTGCCAGCTGGGCTTTGCACGCGCCAGAGCACCAGAAACCCGGAGACCAGCTGGCTGGCATGCGCATGCCTGCAAAACGGACAAAACTGTTTGCCGGTGCTCCGGCACCCACAAAGAACAGCTGGCCGAAAATCAGTAGAGCAGCTGGTGATGGTGCTCGTACCCACAGAGAGGACTCTGCGTGCTACTTCTGGCACGCGTGCCATAGGTTCGCCATCACAGTTTTAGGCAGTGTTTCTCAACACTAACATTTGAAGATGAGTGGACTTCAACTCCCAGAAATCCCTAACCAGCAGGGTTGGCTAGAGAATCCTGGGAGTTGAAGTCCACTCATCTAGAATTCAGTTGTCAAGGGAAAAACACCAATCTAGGGATGGCAGTTGGCAGCAACTCAGGGGTGAAATGCTCCTGGTTCGGACCGGATTGCCCAATCCGGTAGCGATGGTGGCAGGTGGTTCGGAGAACCAGTAGCAAAAATCCCTGCAGCCCCCCCCATTCCCAGCTGAGCCGCATGATCATCAGAGGCTTTTTTAAAAAAAACTTAAAAGCATTTTTTCTACAACCTCTTCCTTTTAAAAGTTAAAAAAAAAGCCTCTGATGATCGCGCGGCTCAGCTGGGATTGTCAGAGGCTTTTCAAAGTATTTTTTTCTGCAACCTCTTGGCTGAAGAGGTGGTTTAAAAAAAATGCTTTGAAAAGTCTCCGATGATTCCAGCTGAGTTGCCTGATCGGCAGAGGCTTTTCAAAGCATTAGAAAAAATGCTTTGAAAAGTTTTTTTTTAAAAAAAAGTTGGCCACGCCCACCCAGTCACATTACCCCCACCACCACCACCAAGCCACGCCCACAGAACCGGTAGTAACAAATTTTACATTTCACTCCCTGCAGCTACTCACTCATCCCCAATTTAGAGCACCTTTGAGCTCCTAAAATTCTACGCTCAATTCTTAGTTAAAATATAATTTTTTGGGGGGGGGGGAACCCGTAATTCTCCAGGCCTCATTCTTTTATATATATTTTTAAAAAGCATGTCCACTTCTGACTTGGTCCCTCCCTATTACTGTTGTTGCCATGAGAAATTTGTAGCCTTGTTATTAAGTTTTCATCACCAGGTGGATAGTTTGTGTTAAAAGGAAAAGGGCACCATTTGAACTATGATGGTAACTATGGTAATAACTCCTGGGCAAGGTTTAATTTAGAATACAATAAAGGTATCCTATGGTGATGTGAGTCAGCAGAATGTTACAAGAGAGCTAAACCACTCCATTCAATTCTTCAGCCGATTCACTGGTTAGAACTCTGTTGGCATTTACGCAGGTTTATACAGAATGACATTCATTCATTCATGACACTAGTCCTCGACTTACGACTGCAATTCAGACCAGAACTTCTGTTGCTAAGCGAGGCAGTTGGGAAATGAGTCACGCCCAATTGTTGTGGCTCCTTTACCTGAGCCTGTGTCATCGGCAGGAGAGGACTCTGAGAGTGAAGGAGAGGAGTTGGCAAGGCCTCCCTCTCCAGGATCCTCCTCTCTGGCAATGCCTTCGGTGTCCGCCGAAGGGCAAGAGATAGGGCCGGGGCCAAGCACGTCCACGCAGCCACAGGTGGACAGTAATGAGGGAGATGAGTCTTGGCTGGATCCTCGGCAGCGTCGCAGAGATAAGTGCACGCAACAGAAGAAAAGGCGTGCCAGAGATTAGGCTGAGTCACTGGACCACACCCCACAGGGTATAAAAGGGGGAGAGGTGGCCATTCAGACTCTGACGGACAAAACTAACTACTATCGAGTCACATTGCATCTTTGGAAACAACATTATCGGTCTTGGATTTATTTTACGAACTGGACAATTCTTGACTGTGGGTATTTTGTTTATTGAATAAAAGTTCTTGGCAAGCAGCTACTGGGTTGCTGCCAAGCGTCTTATCGGAAGAATTGGATGTCTGCCAGTTTATTTAACCCCCGGCTGTCTGTTTGTGTGTGTGTGTGAGACGGGGACAGAACACCAATCTCATTGTCCTTTTTGCTGCATTCGTTAAACGAATCACTACAGATGTTAAGTGAATTACAGGGCTGTTAACTGAATCTGTTTCCCACTGACTTTGCTTGTCAGAGGCGGGCTAGGAGAATCACAAATGGCAATTACCTGACCCCAGGATACCTCAGCTGCCATAAATACATGCCAGTTGCCAAGCCCCCAAATTTTGATCGTGTGACCGTGGGAGCAGTGCAATGATCATAAAGTGCAAGAACTGGTTATAAGTCACTTTTTTTCAGTGCGGGTGTAACTTCAAACAGTCACTAAACAAATGGTTGTAATTTGAGGATTACCTGTAAATTTAAAGTTCTCCAATTAGCCTTAGGAGCTTTCCCTGTTTGTCATCTTTCATTTTCCTTTCTTTTTGTACTTTGTCGCTCTCACTTCCCTACAGAGTAGCCACTTGAGTTGTTTATTGGATGCCATTTAAAGATCTCATCTGTTTCTCCCACTTGATGAGTAGCTTAAGATCCAGCAAGAAGATCTTTACAATGATCAGTTTAGTTCTAGATGCCCATCTGAGCGGCATGGTGGCCTAGTGGTGAAGACACTCGCCTCCCACTCGGAAGGTTGAGAGTTCAATCCTAGGTGGCGGCAGATATTTCTCTCTTTGGGCACAAAGAAAAAAATATCTGCTGTGAACTCCACATAGGCGTCGGGAAGGGCATCCGGCTAGTAAATGCTCAGCTCCATCCAGTCACCCTGACTCTATGCCAAATTAAGGGAGCCCTAGATGTCCATCTGGAAACTTTACACAGCTAGTTCTCTTTTTTGCTTATCCTTGGAACTGTGGTTATCATTAACATGATTGTTATTTCTGTCTCAGTTTGTCAAATGTAGTCCCAACAAACCAGAAAGTCTCAGAGTGGGTGGGAAAAGCTACTCTGAGACTCACTCTCATTTTGTTTGTGTGCATGTGTGTGTGCACGCTTTATTGTTGTTATTGTCATTATCCTTTAACCCTGCCTAAAGCAAAGCACAATGACTGATTTATTTTTTCTGGTGGTGCCTGGTTTGTTACCCTTACAAAAGCATGTCCCTCTTGAAAAATTTCTCCCAAGCAATTAAGGAAGTAATATATCTTTGAAGAAAAAAACGGCTACATTTCACGCTTGTGTGAATTAGCGTTGTCTCAAAGCCAGAGAGACCGATTTGATTAGATTTCTGAAAGTTTACAGCTTTTTTTCCTGGTTTTATTCCCAGAATTGATCTTATACCCGATAATTCCCTGTGGGTCGGAGCATGGTGGATTGGATTCTTAGGCGCTGGCGCCGGTTCCCTCTTGATTTCGGTACCCATTTTGGGGTACCCTCATCGTCTCCCAGGTACGTGAACTGAATCCCAACCAAATTCTTTGAGCTTCTTTTCAGGATTTTGGAAACCTGCCAAAGTAGCTGCTTCTCCTCCGTTGACTTCCCATCAAGGGTACAAGGAACTATAATAGTTTTCCTTTATTTAAAATTGCACTGTTTTGAATCTTGATGCATTGTAGTATTCAATGCCGATTTTAATGCAATACTATTTATGTAATGGAGTTAAACCTTATGGACATTCTGTTATTTAGAAAGTTAGAGTATGGAGGAGGAGGAGGAGGGGAGGAGGAGGAGGAGGGGAGGGGGAGGAGGAGGAGGAGAAAAGGAGGAGGAGGAGAAGAAGGAGAAGAGGTGGAGGAGGAGGAGGAGGAGAAGAAGGGGGGAGGAAGAGGAGGAGGAGAAGAAGAAGAAAATAATTCTATCAATTGTATTTTAAGGATGTTAATACAGATGTTCCTCAACTTACGACCACAATTAAGACTGAAACTTCCATCACCAAATAATGTGGTCGCTAACTTTAATTTCTCCTTGATTTCACATCCTTTTTCCATGCCTGTTAGAAGCCAGCTGGGAAGGTCACAAATGACAATCATATGGCCCAGAGTTGTTGCAATCATTGTAAATATATGCTAGTTGCCAAGCTCTTGGATTTGGATCATATGTCCATGGGGACACCGAGACAGTCATAATCCTGAGTAAGACACTTTTTTCAGCACCATCACAACCTTTGAACGATGGGTGCTCCATCTGGAGTTTTTAAGAAGAGATTGGAAGACACTTGCCTGAAATGGTAAAAGATCTCCTGTTTGAGCAAGGGGTTGGATAAGAAGACCTCCCTTCCCTCTCTATTCTATTCTATTCTCCAAAGCATCTGAAGACAGAACAAGAAACAATGGGTGGAAACTAATCAAGGAGACAAGCAACTTAGAATTAAGGAGAAATTTCCTGACAGTGAGAACAGTTAATCAGTGGATCACCTTGCCTCCAGAAATTGTGGGTGCTCCATCATTGGCAGTTTTTAAGAAGAGATTGGATAGCCATTTGTCTGGAATGGTATAAGGCAGGGATGGCTAACCTTTTTGCGTCGTGTGCCAAAAGTGTGGGGAGCGTAGGGTGGTCTCTCTCGCATGTGCCCACACCCATAATTCAATGCGTCCCCCTCCCTGCATGCGCGACCACGCTTTTGGCATGCAATGGCACGGTGGGCCAGGTAGGCCCATTTTTCAGCCCCCCCCCAGCCTCCAGAGGCTTTCTAGGAGCCTGGGGAGGGCGAAAAACGTCCTTCCCCACTCCCCCACCCCAGAAGGCCTTCCGGAGGCCGGAAACGGCCCATTTCCTGACTTCTGGTGGGCCCAGAAGGCCCGAAAATCAGCTGGCCGGCACGCACATGCTCGCTGGAGCTGAGCTAGGGCAACGCTCGCGTGCCCACAGACACGGCTCCACGTGCCACCTGTGCCATAGGTTCACCATCATGGGTATGAGATCTCCTGCTTGAGCAGAGAGTTGGACTAGGACTTCCAAGGTCCCTTCCAACTATGTTACTCTATTCTATTCTGTTCTGTTCCAATCCAATGCATTCCATTCTATTCTATTTTTTTGCAGTGGTCATACAGTAGGTCGAGGACTATCTCTATTGCAAGCGTAAAATTAATTAACATTTTTGTCCAAAATTGAGTATAACGTTCAAAAAAGGACCGCTGCACAAGATTATTACTTTTGCTTGCCAAGGATTATAACTTTGTTCCTGAGCTCTTCAGTTAAAAGTTCTCAAGATGATAAGATTGGAAAAGGTATAAATATTTATAGCTGGACTACCTTGGGGGGACAATGATGGCATAAGTTTGCAGGAGTATAGTACCCTTACAAATGATCAGTCTATCAAATAGTACCCTGAGTAGAAACAGATGGTATATAGCTCACTTTGCTAAGTCCTTTGTGCATCAGAATGCAACATAGACCATGTCAGAGTATACAGGTTGCAATAAATAGTTCTAATTACAAGCATAATTTGCTGAATAAATCACCAGAGGAAAGTTTTATTTACTGAGCATACTAAGTTATATGGCAGCGTTCCAGAAAAAAACCCTCTTCCATGTAAAGACTCTGAAGCAAGCATTTTTCAAAGTTCTATTTACTAGAATAGATAAACTGGCACATCTGGAAAAACCAGAATCTGAGAGGTCCGGGTTTTCCCTCATTAAATCAAAACCCCCAAAACCATCCCCTCACTCCTCAGTCGATCACATGCTCCAGTCACCATCTGTCCCATCTCGAGACATCACTCCAACCACTCCTCTCCAGATGCAGGATCGCCCTGACCTTGACTGACAGGAAGAATGCTATTATGTCTACAGACAATCCCTCTACTAAATCCCCCCTCCTACTTTCCCACACATGAGAAGGTGGCAGCATGGAAGCTTCCGGACTAATATGGCTTCCAAAGCTGACACTAAAAATCAAATTTTACAAAGCACATTAGCTTAACTCGTAACCTGCTAAGACAAACTACACAAATACTTGGGGTGTTTGACTGTTGGTAAATTGTGACTGGCTAAAGTCCAAATACTGATATAGCTCTTTCTTTTTTTTTCTTTTTTTTTAAATAAGTTTTTTTATTTTCATTAAAACAAACATACAGACAATACATCCTTAATCATTCAGTGTTTCATCTGAGTACATATTTTGTGTCTCCTACTTCCTCCTCCATCATTTTCATATTATATTTCTATCATACCTTTATATTTTCATTTAGATTGTTACATCATTCTTCCCAAATTTCTTATGTTTATATTAATTCATCAATTATCTAAATTTATATATATATAAATATCTATATATATATCTTCTCTAACCATATATATATATATCTTCTCTAACCATTGATATAATTGCCCCATACTTTAAAATTCTCCGATTCTTCCTTTTCTTTAATTACCAATGTTTATCTATTCATTTCTGCCCATTCCAATATTTTCTTAATTACTTCTCCCTCTAAAGGGATTTTCTCTGCTTTCCAATTTTGCGCAAATTCAATTCTCACTGCAGTTACAATATGTATAATCAAATATTATTCTCTTTACTATATTTCTCTGGTAAGATACCCAATAGGAACAATTCAGGTTTTAAATCAATACGTTGTCGTATCATTTCCTCTAGCCATGTTCTAAGGATCGTATTATCATATGTGGTGGACGTGTCCAGAAACGAGGAACTACTGATATAGCTCTTTCAAAGGGATTATTCTTAAATGATTAAAGTCGAAGTTTAGCTAAGAAATCCAAATAATAAGAAATAAAGAATCATTGTTAAAGAGTTGACAACCTTATTTTAAGAGCCTTGGTAGTACAGTGGGCTAAAGCACCCTGTTATTAAGAACAGCTGCCTGTAATTACTGCAGGTTCGAATCTCGCCAGGCTCAAGGTTGACTCAGCCTTCCATCCTTTCTAAGGTAGGTAAATTGAGGACCCAGTTGTGGGGGCAATAAGCTGATTTTGTGTAAAATATACAAAAGAATGAAGGCTATTGCTTAGCGCATTGTAAGCCGCCCTGAGTCTCCGGAGAAGGGCGGCATATAAATCAAATTTAAAAAAAAAAAAGAGAGAAGGCATAGCAGGAACCTCAGGACGTTGTTTGTTGATGGGAGCAGTGATATGTTCAGATGATCCAACTGATAAATCACGAATCAATGATCTTATTGAAGCATTTCCTGTCCTAGGATCACAGCGTTACATAGTCATGCGAGTTTCGGAAACCCATCAATCAAAAGATGGCAGCCATAAAACAGCCTCGGATCCTGATTTTGGAAAGACAGTCAAAGATCTGCCGCAGTAAGAACTTCCCTTTTTAATCATTTATAAACATTTGAATTGAATGTGATTTTGGGGTGTGGGGAAAATTACTCCAACGCTGTCTTTGTTCCTTTAAGCAAGTGTATTCATAAGCCAGATACGGTATTCAGACAACCCGTGAGCCCGTGAGTTCTAGTCCTGCGTTAGGCCCAAAAGCTAGCTGGATAACTTTGGCCAATCACCACAGACTGTGAGTTCTAGTCCCATGTTAGGCATGAAAACCAGACGTGTGATTTTGGGCCAGTCGCCAGGAGATTGTGAGTTCTAGTTCCGCCTTAGGCATGAAAGCCAGCTGGGTGACTTTAGGTCAATCATCAGGAAACTGTGACTTCTAGTTCTGCCTTTGATCGTGTGAAATATTAGTGCCCTAGTAAGATCACACCTGGAATACTGCAACCAGTTTTGGTCACCAGACTACAAAAAAAAAGATGTTGAGACTTTGGAAAAAGTTCAAAGAAGAGCGACTAAAATGATCAAAGTCCTGGAGACTAAACTGTATATAGCATGGCTGCTGGTTTTGGATTTGGCTAGTCTAGAGAAAAGAAGAATTGGGGGTGACATGATAGCAGTATTCTAGTATTTGAGGGGTTGCCACAAAGAAGAATGGGTCAAATTATTCTCCAAAGCACCGGAAGGCAGGACAAGAAACAATAGAAACCAATCAAAGAGAGAAACAATCTGGAATTAAGGAGAAACTTCCTAACAGTGAGGACAATTAACCAGTGGAACAGCTTGCCTTCAGAAGTTATGGGCGCTCCATCACTGGAGGATTTTAAGAAGAGGCTAGACAGTCACTTGTCTGAAATGGTATAGGTTCTCCTGCTTGAGCAGGGGGCTGGACTAGAAGACCTCCAAGGTCCCTTCCAGCTCTATTCTATTCTATTCTATTCTTAGGCATTCTGGTTGGGTGACTTTGGGCCATTCAGTTAAGCAGGAAAGTTGGCTCTGTGTGACATTGGATCAGTCACTCTCTCTCTCTCTCAGTCTAATGCACCTCACAGGGTTGTTCTTGTGAGGAAAATAGGAGGAAGAAGGAATATTATGTATGTTAACTGTCAGTTATTTATAAAAGTAATAAAGGCAGGATAAAAATCTAATGAATAAATAAATACAGGAAATCCAAGCTAACAAAATACAGAAAAATACAACTACTACAATAATTTTATTATTATAACATATTATGTTCCCAGAATAAATCACAGAGTTTATGTTAATAACCTTGATTTCCAGTTGTTATGACTATAAAATGTTTAGCCAGATTTATTTATTTATTTTATTTATTTATCAAATTTCTATACTGCCCTACTCCCGGAGGACTCAGGGCGGTGAACAGCCCAGATAAAATACAGATAATACAAACATTAAAAGTCCATTAAAATTGTTAGGGTGTGTGTAAAAAGTATTTGTTGCTTATGCAATGAGCAGAGCAGAAACACACAGGGAAGGAGATAAACGTGCAGCTCGTGTGAGAAAAATACTTTATATACAAGATAAGAAGCAGTCTCGGTTTAGGTAAAACAGTCCAAGGTCATAAACAGTAATATCAGTCCAGTAAGTATCTTCCCTTACCAAAGCAAACAGACTTTAGTAGCTCTTGGTATACAGTACCATATAACAATCCAGTCTAACATCAATCAGCAGAAAGACGCAGGAAGCAACAGGAGCAATCAGGAAGAAAGAACGCTTCTCTGTGCTGCTTATTTATGCACTGTAGCCTAATTACAGGGTTCAGCAAACCCTGATTACGTGGCTCAGTTGTTTCTTAAAGAAACAGATATATTGCCTGACCAACAAGTTAGGAGTAAGCTACAAGCTGAACCTAACATAAATTATTAAATATTTTGGCTGAAAACAAATTTAAAACACCCAATTTATAAAACAGATTAAATGATTTAAAAATTTAAAAGGGAGAATTAGGCCAGGCCAGCCTGCTGAAATAAAAATGTTTTGAGAGCACGACGAAACGTGCGCAGATCCGGGATCCTCCGTATCTCTGGGGGGAGCTCGTTCCAGATGGTAGGTGCCCCCACAGAGAAGGCTCTCCCCCTGGGGGCCGCCAGTCGACAGTGTTTGGCCGACGGCACCCTGAGAAGCCCCTTTCTATGGGAGCGTACTGGTCGGTGAGAGGCTATTGGTAGCAGAAGGCGGTCTCGTAGATCACTTACAAACCAGAGGTAGCAGGAATACAACATGTTGTGCGACCAAGAGCCGTGGTGGTGCAGTGGTTAGAATGCAGTATTGCTGTCTAAATCTGCCAACTGCCAGCAGTTCGATCCTGACAGGCTCAAGGTTGACTCAGCCTCCCATCCTTCCGAGGTCGGTAAAATAAGGACCCAGATTGTTTGGGGCCAATAGGCTGACTCTGTAAACTGCTTAGAGAGGGCTGTAAAGCACCATGAAGTGGTATATAAGTCTAATTGCTATTGCTATGCTGACACCGATTAGTTTAAATCATGAACAAATGTACAGTAGCTTATTGACAAGTAAACTAACTGATCTGATAGGAATCAGTCCCTTCTTAAAAAAAAACCCCAAAAGGGTAGGGTGACAAGTTTATTCATTTATTGAACGTCTACAGTTGTATAAGCATAGCCAGTGGTTGGGTTCCTTCAACATGCTGAGTCATGATGTCCCTTTAAAGGTAAAGGTTCCCCTCGCACATATGTACTAGTCGTTCCCGGCTCTAGGGGGCGGTACTCATCTCCATTTCAAAGCCAAAGAGCCAGCGCTGTCTGAAGACATCTCTGTGGTCATGTGGCTGGCATGACTCAACGCCAAAGGCGCACGGAACACTGTTACCTTCCCACCAAAGGTGGTCCCTATTTTTCTACTTGCATTTTTTACGTGCTTTCGAACTGCTAGGTTGGCAGAAGCTGGGACAAGTCACGGGAGCTCACCCCGTTACGCAGCGCTAGGGATTCGAACCGCTGAACTGCCGACCTTTCGATCGACAAGCTCAGCGTCTTAGCCACTGAGCCACCATGTCCCTCTTTGACGTCCCTTTAGTCTAGTCTAATTTGTTGTTTTATTCCTTTGATGAGTCTGCTACCAAACTGAAAACAGTTCCTGAATTATCTTCTAAAGAGGATCCAAACAAATGCACCCTTCATTTCGGAGGCCCTTGTACTGCCTTCAAAACAGATTGATATAATGCAGTGCTGTATCTTCATTGTACACAAGTTGTTAGCTGCCGTTCCTAAAGACAGAGAATCAACAGTATTTTAATTTTTGGAGGGGCAAAATAGGCTACCCCAGAAATCTGTACTGAGCTAAACTCAGAAACATAAACTTTAGAGGAGGAACAGTAGTTTGGTTAATGCTAGGGTTAACCTGTTGGGAATCGTGAAGTTGAATCTATTATACTTACAATAGTATATAGCTGTGATGGCGAACCTATGGCGTGCGTGCCACAGGTGGCACACAGAGCCCTCTCTGCGGGCACGCCCACTGTCGCCCCAGCTCAGCTCCACCGCAAATGTGTACTCGCCTCCCACTGGCCAGCTGGTCTTTGGGTCTCTGCTATGCATGCGTGGGGGGCACATGTGGTGGGCTCATGAGCGCAAGCACGGCAGGCGGGGCACATACGTGGGGGCATTTTGGGGGTTCGTGCGTGCATGCCTCCCTGCACCCCATTTTGAGTCTGGAAGTCCTCCTGCACCAACCTGGGAGCCAAAACAGGATGGTGGGGGGCACCATGCAAGGGCTCCCGCGCCCCATTTTGGGTCTGGAAAGCCTCCTGCACCAACCTGGAAGCCAAAACAAGGCGCGAGGAGGCTGGGGCACATGTGCAGTGGATGCATGCACATGTGTGGGGGGGCACATGCACGGGGGGGCACTTGCATTACATTTTGGGGGTTTGGGCATGCGTGCATGCATTTGCACGCGTACATACGCGTTTTGGGCACTCGGCACCAAAAAGGTTAACCATCACTGGTATATAGTATAACTTTATTGTCATTGTACGTGTATACACAGTATACCCACACAACGAAATTCACATAACACCCAAAGACCAGGCCCAACACACATAACAATCCCCAAACACACTCCCACCCACCACAAATTCCCCACCCCTAAACCACCCAAACATCCACACAACAGACCAAGTAATGCTGTCCAACAGCTCACTGATGGTGGCTCTTTAGTTCATTGTTGAGTGCAATTATAGCTCTGGGATAAAAACTATTCAGAAGATGTGTGGTCTGAGTTCTAATTGTTCTGAACCCATCTTTGCAAAGAAAACGGCATTTTCTCTGAGGTCTCTTGATAAAAGCAGCCATTGTTAATCTAAGAACTGTTAACAGTAAAATATATATGGAAAGTTTTTAAAAAATGACCATATGCCACTTTTCAAGACCATGACACAGTTATTCTGCATAAGACAATTAAATTCAGAAATAACATTTAAAAGCCAGGCAGAGTGTGACCAACTCAGCGAACAAAAATGAAATAAAAGCAGAAGTTTAAACTATGTTGTGACTTTAACCTCCTTTTCCTCCAAATATTAACCCAACTTTTATTGAATGGATGAAACTGAGATCTTTGCATTAAGAAACCATCTGCAAAACTACTCTAAATTATTTCCTTATGCCAATACTAACTATGCAGTTGGGTTTATACATCATGTTTAATCTTAACTGTATACAGTTTTATTCCTTTCACATGATGTCCATAAACAAATATACCTCATTATGGTTTAATATGGCCTGATCCCCACAAGATGCTAAGATAGTCGCTTGTTTCCCACAATCTATATATAGGTGAAAATCGAAAAATTAGAATATCGTGCAAAAGTTCTTTAATTTCAGTAATGCAACTTAAAAGGTGAAACTAATATATGAGATAGACTCATTACATGCAAAGCGAGATAGTTCAAGCCTTGATTTGTCATAATTTTGATGATTATGGCTTACAGCTCATGAAAACCCCAAATTCACAATCTCAGAAAATTAGAATATTACATGAAATCAATAAAACAAGGATTGTACATAGAACAATATCGGACCTTTGAAAAGTATAAGCATGCATATGTACTCAGTACTTGGTTTGGGCCCCTTTTGCATCAATTACTGCCTCAATGCGGTTTGGCATGGATGCTATTAGCCTGTGGCACTGCTGAGGTGTTATGGAAGACCAGGATGCTTCAATAGCGGCCTTCAGCTCTTCTGGGCATTGTTCCGTCTCATGTCTCTCATCTTTCTCTTGGCAATGCCCCATAGATTCTCTATGGAGTTCAGGTCAGGCGAGTTTGCTGGCCAATCAAGCACAGTAATCCCATGGTCATTGAACCAAGTTTTGGTACTTTTGGCAGTGTGGGGAGGTGCCAAGTCCTGCTGGAAAATGAAGTCAGCATTCCCATAAAGCTCGTCTGCGGAAGGAAGCATGAAGTGCTCCAAAATCTCCTGGTAGACGGCTGCGTTGACCCTGGACTTAATGAAGCACAGTGGACCAACACCAGCGGATGACATGGCTCCCCAAATCAACACAGACTGTGGAAACTTGACACTGGACTTCAAGCATCTTGCAGTGTGTGCCTCTCCATTCTTCCTCTAGACTCTGGGTCCTTGGTTTCCAAATGAGATGCAAAAGTTGCTCTCATCAGAAAAGAGGACTTTGGACCACTGAGCAACAGACCAGTTCTTTTTGTCTTTAGCCCAGGTAAGATGCTTCTGACCTTGTTTGTTGTTCAGGAGCGGCTTGACAAGAGGAATATGACATTTGAAGCCCATGTCCAGGATCCGTCTGTGTGTGGTGGTTCTTGATGCACTGAACTCTGCTGCTTGTGCACCTTTTTCTTCCACACTTTTCCCTTCCACATAACTTTCTATTAATGTGCTTTGAGACAGCACTTTGGGACCATCCAACTTCTTTTGAGAGACCATTTAAAAGCTCAGGAACCCTTTGCAGGTGTTATGGCTTAATTAGCTGATTAGAGTGGGACACTTTGAGCCTAGAATATGGAACCTTTTCACAATATTCTAATTTTCTGAGATTGTGAATTTGGGGTTTTCATGAGCTGTAAGCCATAATCATCAAAATTACGACAAGTCAAGGCTTGAACTATCTCGCTTTGCATGTAATGAGTCTATCTCATATATTAGTTTCACCTTTTAAGTTGCATTACTGAAATAAATGAACTTTTGCATGATATTCTAATTTTTCGAGTTTCACCTGTATATAAAAGCCAAATACCACTCACTCATCACGAAATCTCCAGAACGGTAAAGCCTACAAACTTGAAATTTGGCACGTATGTTCCTCTTGACTTCTAGGTGCTCGCTAAGAAAGGATTTTTCGAAACGACCATCAGATCATTAGTATTTCATATACAGTATTATATTTACATGCTCTGATGCTAAGGAGCTAGACATTCTACTCCCCCTCCCCACTTGAAAAGAACTCTGTTCCAACTGCCAGTTGACTTATATTAACATGCTCTGATGCTACCCCTTCACTAAACTGGGTGTGGGCGTGGCCAGCACGTGACTCATCCATCCTGCGGGCTGCTACTCCCTCTCCCCCTCTGTTCCAACTGCCAGTTGCCTTATTCTACATTAAGTTTCAGGCTTTAAGTGTCAATTTATCACGCCTGATCACATAGTTTCGTAGGGCATCCCGCTAGTATCGAATATACACAAAATAGGTTTAGCTGGCATGAACTCAACCACGTTTCCTACTAATAGCTCACATTCTAGCACTGAAATGTTACCTAGTTTGGGTAATAAAACGTCTGCAAGAAAGAAAGAAAGAAAAAAAAAAACAAGCTCAGAGAGCACCAAAAATACCCCTCAGTTAAAATTCTCCCTTTCCTGATACCCTTGACTATTCAAACAGAAAGAGCTATTGTGTGACATACATTGTCTGGTTAATTTTGTTCCCTTTCTAATTTCCTGGTAGTGAACGGGGGCGGGGGCGGGGAACCATAAGTAAAGCAGAAGAAATTACCACAAATTGCATTTTAGATTAGTTGTTTTTTTTCCCCCTTCTTCACCAGATTTAACTGTCTAGAAATATAGACACCTTACTAACTGGTGGGTTCCTAGGTCATTCTCACTTCTGGGAAAGTGCCTGTGTGAGAAAACATTGCTGAGCAGCTGCTACAGTATATCACAAGGGAATTCAAATTATTGTCTCTAATAGATTTTTTTTTAGGAACCAATTTTCTGTTAGGGACATTTCTCTGTTCCCAGGACTGTGTTTTTTTCCCTTAACACTTCAATAATAAAGACTATTTATTTTTCTTTCTTTCCTTCTTTCTTTCTTTCTTTCTTTCTTTCTTTCCTTCCTTCCTTCCTTCCTTCCTTCCTTCCTTCCTTCCTTCCTTCCTTCCTTTATTCATTCATTCATTCAGTTAGTTAGTTTGTTAGGTAGTTAGGTAGTTTTTGATTGTACAGTCCACCTCATCCAAAGATGATTTTTGGAGGGGCATTTTTCTTGGATTTAGGAGGAGGAGGAGGCACAATAATACACTCTCGTAAAAAAAAGAGATAGATTTTGTACAATGCACAAACTAAAATACAGTTGCTGTTGTCAAGTTTCCGAAAGATGCCCTAATTAATTCATGAGCCATGATCCAAACTTCAAAGGAAATATAGTGATTTATTAGGAGCACCATTCCGGCAATACTGGGATGCAGTCAGGACTGACCCCACGCAGATTTACGTCCCCCCATGACCCTGTCTCTCCCCTCCTCCCTGGCCATGTCATAAATCACATTCTCCAATTATCCACTTTGGCTGGCTGTGAAACCTTCCTTCTGATTGCGGTCAGAAAGAATGTATGGAATTCACTTCAGTTCTCCCTCCCTCCTGCTTATGGCAACTTGAAAGCTTTGCAAGTTGACAGCTGTACTATGTTCAAGCAAATACATCCATTATTAAGCTTCGATGTTTGCAACTCCCTAGGACAGTGATGGTTAACCTTTTTGGTGCCAAGTGCCCAAAGTGCGCGTGTGCGCATGTGAATGCACGCATGCGTGCCCGAACCCCCCAAATGCAATGCAAGTGCCCCCTGTGCATGTGCCCCATCCCACACATGTGCATGCTTCCACTGCACATGTGCCCCGGCCCCTGCGCGCCCTATTTTGGCTTCCAGGTTGGTGCAGGAGGCTTTCCAGGCCCAAAATGGGGTGCAGGGGGGCATGCATGCACGAACCCCCAAAATGCAATGCGAGTGTCCCCGCGTATGCGCCCCGCCCACCAGGCTTGCGCTCATGAGTCCCCCACATGTGCCCCCGCGCATGCACGGCAGAGACCCAAAGACCAGCTGGCCAGCCACACACCCCCCTGCGTGCGCGACCCTGCCCCCGCACTTCCCCCGCTTTTAGCACATGATGGGCCGGTGGGCCCGGTAGGCCCGTTTTTCACCCTCCCCAGGTTCCAGAGGCTTTCTTGGAGCCTGGGGAGGGCAAAAACAGCCTTCCCTACCCCCCCCCGGAGACTTCCAGTGGGCCCAGAAGGCCCGAAAATCAGCTGGCTGGTGTGCACATGTGCGCTGGAGCTGAGCTAACATGCCCATTGATATGGCCACTGATATGGCTCCGCGTGCCACCTGTGGCACACATGCCATAGGTTCGCCATCACGGACCTAGAATATGCGCAAATAATTCCCAGATGTGAGATTTGTTGGCATTTCTTTTGCTCTCCATCTCTTTCAGAATTCCTTCCTGCCTCCTATCAGTGCTTTCCAATTGGGCAATCATAAATATTTTGGGACTGCAATTTTTAGGATTCTCAATGAAATTTTGTTAACTCTTAAATTTTGTAATCTTGACTCGAAAGTTGTGAAAATCTGTCCTACTTTGCCTGGATTCTATTTCATTCTTTGTCCTAATATTCTTTTAGAACAGGGTTGTCCAACCTTAGCAAGTTTATGATTTGAGGGCTTCAATTTCCAGAATTCCACAGCCAGCCATGATGATGGCTGGGGAATTCTGGGAGTTGAAGTCCACAAGTCTTCAAGTGGCCAAGGTTGACCATCCCTGTACTAGCTGTTCATGTCCAACTAGAATAGAATAGAATAATAGAATAATAACTTTATTGTCACTTTGAATGTACACTAATCGGCACACATTAAAGTGAAATTTCGTGGCATACAGCTCTCAAGGGATCACCACCTCCAATATACACTACATAATATAACGGAATAAATAAATAAATACAGAGAAAAATTAATCACAATGGAGAGAGAACAATCTTTTGAAAGATAACAATCATTTCTCTTTAATTAGAAGAAATTGGGAGAACATGCCATGAGGGATATGGGATTATAATCCGCAGGAAAACCTTGCTAAAAAAAGGAAAAAGAATTAACTAAAATAAAAGGAAATCACCTTATTAATGCTTGCATACCTGGGTTGGAACATAGGATCTACACTAAATAATTTGTTCCCTCCTTTTGTTTTTTGGGATCCTAAAGGTCACTTTGGCTGCTACTGAAGAACCCAACTTTCATCTTCCTTTGCTTAGCTGGAGCTACAGAAGCTACCTTGATTGCTGGGATGTCAACTTTTGGGCCCAAATTCCTTGAATCCCAATTCAGCCTAAGTGCCTCTGAAGCAGCAACTTTGTTTGGTAAGAAAAAAAAAAGTCGTTGAATGAAGCTTTATTAGGGGGGTTTAATCTCCATTAGCTGAGCTCAGCTCCTGATGGCTTCATGGCCACATCCATATACACCTAGTCAGTGGTGGGATTCAGCTGGTTCGGCCCTGAATTTAACCGGTAGTTAAATTGCTGGGTGGCCCCGCCCAGTGGTGGGATTCAAATAATTTAACAACCGGTTCTCTGCCTTAATGGATTTCTTCCAACAACCAGTTCACCAAACTGCTCAGAAAGTTAACAACCGGTTCTCCCGAAGTGGTGCGAACTGGCTGAATCCCACCACTGGCCCCGCCCCACCCCTTCCAGGAGCCCCCACATGCCCCATTTTGGCTCCCAAGTAAGTGCAGGGAGACCTACTAGGTCCAAAACGAGGCACGGGGAGAGTGGTGTGCCCCCCCAGCCTGTTTTCACTCCCAGGAGGATGCAGAGAGGCCTACTAGGCCCACAATGGGGCACCGGGGGGGTGGCATGTCCCCCCCACGGCCTGTTTTCGCTTCCAAGGGGATATAGGAGGCTGAGTGCTGCCTGTCACACCCCCTGGCCACGCCCACCATGGCCACGCCCACGCCCACCCAGCCAGTCATTAGGGTAGAGAATCAGTTGTTAAATTATTTGAATCCCACCACTGTAGATAGTCCTCGACTTATGAGTACCATTGAGCCCAAAGTATCTGTTGTTAAGTGAGACATTTATTAGGTGAATTTTGCCCAATTTTACAACCTTTCTCACCATTGTTAAATGAATCACTGCCGTTGATAAGCTACTAACCTGGTTGTTCAATGAATCTGTCTCCCCCAACACTTGTCAGAAGGGAATCGCCTAACCCTGGGACACTGCAACCGTCATAAGTACATGCCAGTTGCCAAGCGACTGAATTTTTATCACGTGACCACTGGGATGCTGCAACGGTTGTCACTGCGAAAAACAGTCATCAGTCACTTTTTTTCAGTGCCGTTATAACTTTGAATGGTCACTAAAGGAATTGCTGTAAATCAAGGACTACCTGTCGTTTCCTAGGCACTAAAATTGATTTATAAAATTTATTGGCCGCCCATCTTACCACAGGGTAACTCTGGGAGGCTTTCGGTTGCAAAAATGTATTTACGCAGTACATTAAAACATAAATAAATTAATTTAAATTATGAAAACGTTAAAATCTGATGACAAGTGGGGAGGATGGGGATGGAGTAGAGGGAGGTGGGATTACAGATTAACAGAGTTGGAAGGGACCTCGTAGGTCATCTAGTCCAACCCCGCCTGCCCAAGCAGGAGACCCCACACCATTTCTGACAGACGGGACCCACAGCATTCCTTCTCTGCCAGCATGAGTAGTATGGGCCAATCCCAGTGGGGAGAGACAGTCCCTAAAGTAATCTGGACCAGGAGTGGGTTCTACTTACCTTTACTACCAGTTCACATCATTGTTCTGCCCCAGCTACAGACCCCAAAGAACGCAGCACACACGAAGTCTGTACAAACCTTAGTTTACTAAATTAAATCAGTCTTTTTCAAATAAAGGTTGTTAATTAACTTTCTTAACAGTCTACAAGAATCCAAAGAATAAATAATCGTAATCTTACTATGGTTGGCAGAAAGCCCAGAAGCAATTTGCAGGAAACTGATAAGAGAACTAAGATCAGGACGCGAAGGAGAGTGAACGAAATTGTTCCCTGCAAATTGCCTCAGTTGTCTTCTTCTTTAAATAGACTAAGGGAGTGGCCAATTAGCCCCAAGCCTTACTCTCGAGGAGACCTCCTCCTGAGGAGCCACTCCTGCCTTTTGGCAGCTCTGCGCGCCCGTGCATCGAGAAGAGGCTCCTCCTCTTCCTCCTCTTCACTTAAGGGAGCTTCTGGAGGTTCTGAAGGCCCTGGCTGAATCCCCGCCTCTGGCACCACATCTTCTCCAGCCTCCTCATTGTCTGACTCGAGTGCCAGCTGCACAGGCTGCTGGCGCAGCACCACACCAGCCTCCTCGCTGTCTGAATCAGCTACTAGCTGCACAGGCTGCTGACGGGCCACAACAATCATGCCCGGGTGCACGCATGCTCTTCTGCACATGCGCAGATCGCATCTGATGATGTCCAGGTCAGTGGGCAGAGCCTCCCCTCACTTTTACTACTGGTTCTTGCGAACTGGTCCGAACTGGGGGCAACCCACCACTGATCTGGACCCATGCCACCAAGGGCGTTAAAGGTGATCACTAATACCTTGAATTGCACCTGGAAGCAGACCCACAACCAATGCAGGTCACAGAGAAGTGGTGTTAAATGGGCCATTCTTGGGGGCCCCCAAAACTGCCCCCGTATATTGGTTTGCTATTGCAAATGTTCTAATAAGCTCTTTTCAATTTACAAATTTAGTCCAGAGTCTTGGCTTCCTGGTTCCCTCCCAATACTAACCAGATTCAACTTGGCCGACTCACAGCTGGCCAGATGCTGCCCCCTGCTGAAAGTGTCGATTGTTCATTTATTCAGCACTGTTGAACTCTTAAAATATTTCCCCCCCAGAAGGTTCTAAGTACTGTCAGGCCAAGTACAGGTAGTCCTTGACTTACAACAGTTCATTTAGTGACGTTCGAAGTGACAACAGCACAACAGTAAAAAAGGACTTATGACCATTTTTTTCACACTTACGGCCATTGCAGCAACCCTATAGCCACATGGTCAAAATTCAGATGCTTGACAACTGACTCGTACTTATGACGGTTGCAGTGTCCCGGGGTCATGGGATCCCCATTTGCGACCTTCTGACAAGCAATGTCAATGGGGGAGCCAGATTCACTTAGCAACCATATCTATCTATCTATCTATCTATCTATCTATCTATCTATCTATCTATCTATCTATCTATTTATTTATTTAATTTATATACCGCCCTTCTCCCAGAAGGACTCAGGGTGGTGTACAGCCAAAATAAAACACACAGATATACAATTTAAAAAACAATTTAAGAAATATTAAATAATTTGGCCCATATCTAATTAAAATAATGTTGTTAAGTTAGCAACTGCAGTGATTCACTCAATGACTGTGGCAAGAAAGGTCGTACAGTGGGGCAAAACCCACTTAACAACTATCCTGCTTAGCAACAGAAATTTGGGGTGCAATTGAAGTCATAAGTTGAGTCAATTGTCAATTGTTAAATCACGTGGCCATGGGGATGCCGCAACGGTCATCAATGTGAAAAATAGTCCTAAATCAAGTCACTTTTCTCAGTGCTGTTGTAACTCTGAACGGTCACTAAGTGAACTGTTGTAAGTCGAGGACTACCTGTAGAGACTTGTCTGCAATTCTTTGCAGTTCTTAACCATCCTTGCATTTTGACTGGGATCCTAATGAATGGCAGGTTAATACGATGGCTTAAATTTTAATTTAATAATAAGCTTCTAAAGGAAATTGAATATGGTTTAAATCACAAAGAATTAGATTGGAAAAACAACAGACCTGTTTCCTCTCCCTTGGAAGGCTACCTTGTGGTTCCGGCAGGAGGAGGAGGCACTTTCCTCGGAGGGTTCATCGTGAACAAGTTTAAGCTGCGCTGCTCAGGGATCATCAAGTTTTGTTTCATGTGCACCATGTCGAGTCTGCTGGCAATTTTCATCTTTTTTATTGATTGCCCCAATATGCCCATGGCTGGAGTAACCCAGATGCATGACGGAAGGTAAGCTGGGGAAGAACAATCTCTTTGCAAAGGAGGCTACTCCAAAAGAAAGCTACAAAAGAATAATATCACATTGCCTGTCGGTCGGTCGGTGGGTCGGTCTATCATCTATCACCTGCCTTATCTACTAAAATTATATCTATCTAGCTGTGTTATCTGTATCTTTCTCTCCATCCATCCATCCACAGTATCCGTCTGTCCATCCATCCATCCATCCATCCATCCATCCATCCATCCATCCACCCACAGTATCCATCTAGCCATCCATCCATCCACAGTATCCGTCCATCCATCCATCCATCCATCCATCCACCATCCACAGTATCCATACATCTATCTATCCATTCATCCATAGTATCCACTCACCCATCCCTGCCCTATCTACAGTATCTATGTCCATATATCTGTGTTGTCTGTCTGTATTCATCAGTCATCTATCTTTTTTTCTATCATTTGTCTTACCTGCTGTAACTACGATATATTTATTTATTTATTTATTGGTTCGATTTATATGCCGCCCTTCTCCGGAGACTCAGGGCGGCTTACAATGTGTTAAGCAATAGCCTTCATACTTTTGTATATACCTGCTTAGTAGGGCTTTTGCCCCCCCCCCAGCGGTGTTCTTTTTTATACAAAGTCATCTTATTGCCCCCACAATCCGGGTCCTCATTTTACCTACCTCGGAAGGATGGAAGGCTGAGTCAACCTTGAGCCTGGTGAGATTCGAACTTGCAGTAATTGCAGGCAGCTGGTGCTATTTAACTTTAGTCTGCTGCGCCACCAAGCTAGCTGTGCTGGATATAGATATTACCTATATCTATCTGTCCATCCATCCGTCTATCCATCCATCCATCTGTCTATCAATCCATCCATCCATCCTATCCACAATATCTATGTCCATCTATCATTGTTGTCTGTCTGTCTATCTAGCTATCCTTTATCATATACGGTACTATATCTATCCATCACCTACTCCCTATCATCCACTTTATCAAACTTTCCATTTATCCATCCATCCATCTCCTGTTCTATGGAAGAGTGGCAGCCAGAAAAGATCAATTGTGTAACAGATATTAGATTTTTAATAAATAATCCACAAATACTATTATTTGGATTTTCCTTACAGTCTTCCGGAGAGGTTAAGGTTATATTTTTGGAAGTTACAGATACTGCCTTATGCTCAATTCTGACCACTAAAATAAATGTATGGGAAGGGGGCAGGACAGATATTACAGTTGAGTATGAGGCTTTGATACAGTAGGTGCCCAAGGATGCTGTACACTCATGACTGACATGAGTAGACTTACATACCGCTTCATAGTGCTTTACAGCCCTCTCTAAGCGGTTTACAGAGTCAGCATATTTCCCCCCAACAATCTGGGTCCTCATTTTACCAACCTCAGAAGGATGGAAGGCTGAGTCAACCTTGAATCGGTCAGGATCGAACTTCTGGCAATGGGCAGAGTCAGCCTGCAATACTGCATTCTAACCAGTGTACCACCACAGCTCAAGAATGCCACTTCTTGCTGGTCTCAAACTAGCATTGAATGACTATTGAGATATATCAGTACCCTTCGCTGGCTAAATCTCCTCCTTGCCTTGCATGTTGTTTTCAAGCGTCCCCAACTGATGATGCTAGAAAGAAAAGACATTGACCAATGATCTGTTTTGTTTAGCATCCTCCCGCAAGGTCACCTCAACTTGTCTGACCCCTGCAACATGGACTGCCATTGCCTGCGTGAGACCTACAATCCCGTGTGTGGGAACGATGGCATCACTTATTACTCGCCCTGCCATGCTGGTTGCAAGAAAGCATCAATAAACCACGATAGCGGGGAAAAGGTGCGTGTGGGATGTCAGCCTTCACTTGTTCTCCAAGTCCTTCTCATATCCAAACCCTGTTGATGTGTAACCAAAGAACTGAGGTTGACTCTCTGTGTTTATGTCTATGGAGGATAGGATAGGATAGGATAGGATAGGATAGGATAGGATAGGATAGGATAGGATAGGATAGGATAGGATAGGATAGAACTAGAACTAGAACTAGAACTAGAACTAGAACTAGAACTAGAACTAGAATTAGAACTTGGAAGGGACCTTGGAGGTCTTCTAGTCCAACCCCCTGCTTAGACAGGAAACCCTACACCATTTTAGACAAATGGCTGTCCAATCTCTTCTTTAAAACTTCCAGTGTTGGAGCATTCACAAGTTCTGGAGGCAAGTTCTTCCACTGATTAATTGTTCTGTCAGGAAATTTCTCCTTAGTTCTAGGTTGCTTCTCTCCTTGATTAGTTTCCATCTATTGCTTCTTGTCCTGCCCTCAGGTGCTTTGGAGAATAGGTTGACATCCCCACCCCCACTTTTCTTTGTGGCAGCCCCTTAAATACTAGAACACTGCCATGAGCAACCTGGAATTAAGGAGAAACTTCCTAATAGTGAGGACAATTAACTGGTGGAACCGCCTGCCTGGGTGCTTCATCACTGGAGGTTTTTAAGAAGGGACTGGACAGCCACTTGTCTGAAATGGTATAGAGTCTCCTGCTTGAGCAGGGGTCTGGACTAGAAGATCTCTAAGGTCCCTTCCAGCTCTCTTCTGATTGATTGATTGATTGATTGATTGATCATCCCTAGTCTTTCTCTTCATTAGACTAGACCAGGGGTCAGCAATCTGTGGCTCTGGAGCCGCATGTGGCCCTTTCATCCCTCTGCTGTGGCTCCCTGTCACCGGTCAGCTCCACAATTGATAGGGCTTTCGGTTAGGACAAGTAGAGGAAAAAGGATGCTGCTCTAGGAGGAGACTCTATGGTGGAGGAACCGGACTTCTGGTCGGCTCCAGAATTGAACGGGGGGCTCCTGGTCAGGACCTTTGTGGCTCTTTGAGTATTTAAGGTTGCCTACCCCTGGATTAGACATAACAGTTCCTTCAGTCATGTACAGACCAGATGCTGTACACGTACAACCGGATATTGTGGGCTGAATTTTGGAATATTTGCATGCAAGATATGAGCTGTACTGCTCACCTGTGGTTTGTTTCCCCTGAGTAACATTGGCCAGACAAAAGAAATAGACACCACTGTGTTACAGTGTGTAGTGGCTGTTCTAAACTACTATCGGGTGAAATGCTACCGGTTCATTCCGGTTCAGGTGAACCGGTAGTGATAAAAACTACCGGTTCGGGCGAATCGGTAGTTTAAAAAAGCTACCGGTTCAGACAAACCGGTACTTCCAACGATCAGCTGTGCCATGCGGTTTAGCTTTGCTAAACAGCAGGAAATCTTGCTTTCTAGCGAAGCTAAATCGCGCAGCACAGCTGATCCCCCTCTCACTGTTCTACTTACCCAAGCCTCCTTTTGGCGTGTAGTGTGCAGGCACATGCAGCGTGCGTTTGGCACACACTGCACGTGTGCATACAGTGTGCGCTTGGCACACAGCGCACATGCGCAAGCAGCAAACCAGTAGGAAACCAGTTCAGATTTCACCACTGACTAGTCTCCTTGTTTCCCAAGGTTTATCATGAATGCAGCTGCATTATTGGACCCAACACTCCGGTCTCCAGCCTGGCTATGGCAGGGAAGTGTACATCTTCATGTGAAAGAAGGACTCTTCTCTTGGTTTTCATGTTTGTTATCATTCTCTTCACATTCCTAAGTAGCATTCCTGCGTTAACAGCTACATTGCGGTAAGCTACAGGGAAATCAGACTTATTTTCTCAAAGCTGAGCCAAAACGAATGTTTTTTAAGCCATCTAAATCAGGGGTCTCCAAACGTGGCCACTTTAAGACTTGTGGACTTCAACTCCCAGAATTCCCAGCCTGCATGGCTAAGTGAGGAATTCTGGGAGTTGAAGTCCAATAAGTCTTTTTTTTTAAAATCACGTTTTATTGATTCCCCCCCCCCCACACACACACACATTTCACCTGCATATTTTATGAACAGCATATTGGCCATATCATCTCTTATACAACTTATCATATTAAAATATATTTTACTTAGTTACAATTTCTGCCAAAATCTTCTTTTTCCATGTTTTTTGATCATATCTTAATATTTCTATGTTATTTATATAAACAACATCTTCATTCACCCTCAAGTTCTAATTTCTCTATTTTTACTCATATTTATTCTTTTATTTTTTAATAATTCATTCTTTATCCTAATATATTTACATATGTTCGGGGTTGCCTTTCTTCCATTTCATCTTTTTTATTGTACAGCAATCTTCTCATTCTCTTCCATCTCCCTCCCTTCTTTTATCCTTCCTACCTTCTTCTTCCCTCCTCTCCTACTCCTTCTCTACTTCCCCTTCCTTTCTCCCCTTCCTCCTCTCTTTCTCCCTATCTAACTTTCTCTCCTACTCTTATTTCCCATCCCTTCCTTCCTCCCCTCTTCCCTTTCTTCCATTCCTCTCTCTCCTTCTCCCTTCCTTCCATCCCTCTACTCCTTCTTTCATCTCTCTCTATTGCTGTATTCATTTTCAATTTACTATTTTCCACTATGGTGTCCAGGCAACCCCGACTTTTCCTCTATTTATTAAATATATTTCTCAAAATTCCCCCATCTTTTTAATTATTAACAATGTATTTCAACTTATTTTCCGTTTTTACCGTGAAACCCTTTGCTAAATTAGCCTTCCAACCCTTAATCTATTTTACCTTTAACAAAACTGGGTTTACACTACATCTTAAATCCTAACTTGATGTGAGCAAACCAGAAATGGCCAGAGTTGTATATGGTGACCACAGACATAGTTAGTGGGATAATCTGGTTGTCGCACAACCTGCTTAAAATGATTGCCTAAGTTCCTACAGAATCCTGAGTCACAAATGAATCAGTCAATCTAACCCACTAACTTTTTTCATTCTAATGAATCATACAGTGTGAAGCCATTCCATGCCTGTGGATACACCATTGTGTTTAAGGATATATTTAACCTATAATTCGGCTTAGAATATGTTCCATAACAGGTTATGCTGTAATGGACCGGGACTCCCTACGCACGGTCACTCAAGCACTCGTCACCTCTCGTCTGGACTATTGTAACGCTCTCTACATGGGGCTCCCCTTGGGGTGCACCCGGAGGCTCCAACTGGTGCAGAATGCGGCCACGCGGGGGATTATGGGAGCGATGGGGCGCTTCCATGTGACTCCTCTCCTGCGCGAGCTGCATTGGCTTCCGGTGGACTTCCGGGTGCGCTTCAAGGTGTTGGTGATCACCTTTAAAGCGCTCCATGGCTTAAGGCCGGGGTACTTACGGGACCGCCTTCTGCCACCAATAGCCTCCCACCGGCCAGTTCGCTCCCACAGAGAGGGCCTCCTCAGGGTGCCGTCGGCCAGACAATGCCGGCTGGCGACCCCCAGGAGGAGAGCCTTCTCTGTGGTGGCACCTACCCTTTGGAACAATCTACCCCCAGAGATACGAGTGATCTCCGGCCTCCGGACTTTTCGTCGGGCCCTAAAAACTTATTTTTTTCAGTTAGCTGGTCTGTCTTGATTTTATGGTTGGTTTTAAAATTTGATACGGATTTTAAATTGACAAGTTTTAAATTACGGGCCAAATTTATTTAATTATTTTAAATCTATTTTTAACTGTAACTTTATGTATAAATGTTTTTATTTTGGCTGTTCACCGCCCTGAGTCCGAAAGGAGAAGGGCGGTATAGAAGTTTGAATAATAAATAAATAAATAAATAAATAAATAAATAGATAGATAGATAGATAGATAGATAGATAGATAGATAGATAGTACATTTAATCTTGGCTTAATGTGATGGCCTCGTTCACATGATCTGCTAAAACAGTAACTGGGAGGAAGTATGGCTTCCCACAGCAAACGAAATGAGAAAATACTCTTTTAGTCTAGTTTCATAGACTCATCCATTCAACTGCAGTGGCTTCTAAAGCAGAGTTCCCCAATCTTTCCAGCTTGACGGTTTGGAGGTGTCTGTGTGTGTGAAAGTGGATGGCTTTGTGGGAGCGGCAGGTGCGTGTGTATGCATGAACGCCTGTTGCTCACGCAGGCGAGGCCCCAGCCCCACGACGCTCGCATGAAGAAGGCTGAAAGCTCCTGCAACGCTTGCCCGAGTGCTCGTGTACTCGCGCGAGTGGGACCGCAGGCCCCCCGCACAATGCTTGCACGACTTCTGAGAAGTAAAAGAAACAAATGATAGTACGGGCAAAAAACTTTGGTTATAGTTTCAGTTCGGTTCAGCCGAAGAGGTTGTAGAAAAAATAATTTTAAAAGTTAAAAAAAAAAAAAAGTTGTCCACGCCCACTCAGTCATATTATCCCACCCCCACACCAAGCCACATCAACAGAACCGTTAGTAACAAATTTTACATTTCACCACTGGTGCATGTGTAAAAATCAAGCTAGGTCTTACTTTCGGAGTAGGTCATATTTTCGGGAAAACATGGTAGGCTGCGGACCAGTAGTGGTTTGGGACCCCTGTTCTAAAGGATGAAACCTGCATAATCATGTCATAATACAGGATCGACCCTTTCCTGCTTGTACACGTAGTCCTCGATTTACGACTGGTGGCTTAGCCGTCATTTGAAATAATAACCGAGCTGAAAAGGGGGACTTATGAAGTTTTCAAAGTTCCAGCAGTTGGGTCCCCTCCATTGTCCTGTGACCAAATTTCAGACGCTTGGCCACACAGCCACATTCACAGCCATTTGCAATGTCCCACCGTCATGTGACCACGTTCTATGACAGTTTGGCCCAAAACTGGCAGTTCTGCTTTTCAGCAAAACTCTACCCATGGTGAGCCACTGGTTCGCTTAACGACCATGGCCTTCGCTTAATGACTGCTGCAAAAACATTGCAAAATGGGGTCAGTCACCCTGACTAGGTGGCTCAGTGGCTGAGACACTGAGCTTGTTGATCAGAAAGGTCGGCAGTTCGGCGGTTCGAATCCCTAGTACAGGTTTCCTATGTGAGCAGGAGGTTGGACTAGATGTCCTCTAAGGTCCCTTCCAACTTTGTTACTGTTAACTTGCAGTCCTGTGACCAACCTGTTTTACAACCATTATGACAAACTACTATAATGAGCTGTCTCCATTATGGCCATGGGTGGAGGACTATCTGTGTGCACAAGTGCAGGTACGCTTTGACTTAAGACCATAATTGAGTCCGAAATGTCCATTGCTAAGTGAGACAACTGTTAAGTGAGTTTTGCCCTATTTTACAACCTTGCTTGCCACAGTTGTTAAGTGAATCACTTAGTTGTTAAGTTAGTAACATGGTTGTTAAGTGAATCTGGCTTCCCCCATTGACTTGGCTTGTCAGAAGGTTGCAAAGGGGGATCACGTGACCCCTGGGACATTGTAACCATCATAAATGTGAGTCAGTTGCCAAATGTCTGAATTTTGATCATGTGCCCATCGGGCTGCTGTAGCAATTGTAAGTGTGAAAAATGGTCACTATTTTCAGTGCCGTTGTAACTTCGAACCATCACTAAATGAACTGCTTTAAGTCGAGGACTACCTGTACATAAGAAATGGCATTTGCGTTACAACACACATTTGTCATTTTCTGCTTGTCCCCTCTCCAAGAGATGCTTGGCTTTTGTCCAGCATGTTTTACTCAGTGGTGAAATCTAAAATTTGTTACCACCGGTTCTGTGGTCGTGGCTTGGTGTGGGGGGGGAGGTGTAATGTGACTGGGTGGGCGCATTTTTTCTACAACCTCTTTGGCGACCTCTTCATTTAAAAGAAAAAGAATTTTAAAAGAAAAAGAATTTCATTTAAAAGAAAAAAAAACCCTCTGCCAATTAGGCAACTCAGCTGGGATCGTCAGAGCCTTTTGAAAGCATTTTTTTACAACCTCTTCGCTCTGAAGAGGTTGTAGAAAAAATGCTTTTAAAAGCCTTTGGCGATCTCAGCTGAGCCGCGCGATCATCACAGGCTTTTTTTTTTTACTTTTAAAAGCATTTTTTTGGCTGAAGAGGTTGTAGAAAAAATGCTTTTAAAAGTTAAAAAAAAAAAGCCTCTGATGATCGCACGGTTCAGCTGGGCATGTGGGGGGGCAGGGATTTTTGCTACCGGTTCTCCGAACCACCCGCCTCCATCGCTACCGGATCGGGCGATCCGATCCAAACCGGGAGCATTTCACCCCTGGTTTTACTCATCCTTTGTATGGTTAATTCACTCTCACACTTAATGTTATGGGGAAAAATTCAGAATGGCTGTGTTCGAATCACTCTTTAACTGATCCTGCTTGCCTTTGTTTCTAAATGTTGGTTTTATGTCTCCTAGGTGTGTTTCCGACAGACAGAGGTCGTTTGCACTAGGAATCCAATGGATTGTTGTGAGAACGCTAGGTATAGTATCCAGACAAAATCTGTAGCCTTCTCCATGTTTTGTTTTAATTAGGATACTCTAAACCAGGGGTGTCAAACCAGGGGTGAAATCTACTTACCTTCCCAACCGTTTTGGAAGTGCATGTGCCACAAGCACATCATGTGCACTCTTGCGCAGAGGGTAAAAAACAGGTTACTTCCTTGTTAAAACCGGGTGGGTGGGCGGAGCCTCGCACCGCCATCGCTACCGGTTCTCTGAACCGCCGGCTGCCATCGCTACCAGTTTGCCTGAACCGGTCTGAACCGGGAGCATTTCACCCCTGTGTCAAACTCAATTTCATTGAGGGCCGCATTAGGGTTGTGTTTGACCTCAAGGGGCCGAGGTGGGCATGGCCAGGGTGGGTATGGCCAGTGGTCACTTGTGTCGGGGGCTCTTGTGGTGGCCCAAGCACTCTGCCAGCGAAAACAGGCTCCTGCACTGCATTTTCGGCTGCAACCGCTTCTTGCAACCCTCTGCCAGTGAAAATGGAGCTCAGGAGGGCCAGGCATGGCCCTTGCAAGCTGCGTTTTCGGCTGCGACGGTCCTCCTTCAACCCTCTGCCAGCAAAAATGGAGCTTGGGAGGGATATTTTCACTGGCAGCACCGTGTGTCAATTCGCAAAGCATCCCTTTCCTGCTCTCAATTTGCCATAAGGGGGGATGAAGAGGCACGGCAGCCAAAGACAGATGCACAGTCCAGACTTATCTCTCTCAAGGTTGTATCCCAGGGCTACCCACAGCGGCCAGAGAGGAGTGCTCTCTACAACCTGCAAAATTGCTCCATTGGAGATTGTGATTAATGACATACCCTGGGGGGAGGGGAGAAACAGGGTCATGATTGGGGCGTAAATTACGTAGGGTCAGAGCTGGCTTCACTTGGGAACATGCAAACATGAACCTCCTAATAAATAACTGGATTTCTTTTGAAGCTTGGCTCCGGGCTCATGATTTAATTAGGGCATCTGTTGGAACCCTGACACCGTGGGCCGGTCCTTTGCTGTTTCCAGGTCGGCCCTGCAGGCCAGATCTAAGCACCCCGCAGGCCACATCCAGCCCGCGGGCCTTGAGTTTGACACCTCTGCTCTAAACCAATGGCTCCCAACTTTTTGGGCACCAAGGACCAGTTCCATGGAGAAAGGTTTTTCCATGGACCTGCGGGGACGTGATTTACTGTGCTGCCTGCCTCCCACGGATGAGGCTTGTTTGCACAGCCCAGTTGCTGGCATGCCACGGACTGGTGCCAGTCCACGGACCTGGAGTTGGGGACCCCTGCTCTAAACTGCTGAAATTTTGGCACGTCAGAATATGGTCCAGGTAGTCCTTGACTTACCACCATTCGTTTAGTGACCATTTGAAGTTGCGACGACACTGTGACTACGACCATTTTTCACCCGTATGGCCATTGCAGCATCCTTATGGTCAGGTGGTCAAAATTTGGATGCTTGGCAACTGGCATGTATTTATGACGGCTGCCATATCCGGGGATCATGTGATCACCATTACTGACCTTCCCAACCAGTTTCTGACAAGCAAAGTCAGTAGGGAAAATCAGTTTCACTGAACGCCTGCGTTATTCGCATAACACCTGCTGTGATTCGCTTCAGAACTGTGGCCAAAAGGTCGTAAAATGGGGCATAACTCACTTACTTTGCAGTGGAAATTTGGAGCTCCGATGTGGTCATAAGTCGAGGACTGCCTGTATAGACGCTGAGCTAGAAATGCTCATTTTGTGAAAAATGACACTTTTGCTGTTATGCTGTCACTGGGATCATATATAAGGTTGATCTTGGAACTGGTATTTTTTTTGAAAGAGGTTGTGAATCATTCTGAGTTAATATTGTCATACCGCTTATTCTTTCGGAGTAATTTTTTCCCATTTATGAAGAGCCTGGTGGCGCAGCAGACTAATAGCCTGTTATTAACATTCAGCTGCCTGCAATTACTGCAAGTTCGAATCTCCCCAGGCTCAAGGCTGACTCAGCCTTCCATCTTTTCTAAGGTAGGTAAATTGAGGACCCAGTTTGTGGGGGCAATAAGCTGACTTTGTATAAATATACAAAAGTATGAAGGCTATTGCTTAACGCATTGTAAGCCGCCCTGAGTCTCCAGAGAAGGGCGGCATATAAATCAAATTAAAAAAAAAAAAGTTGGCCAGTGGAAACTTTCAAAATAAATCTGGTTCCAAAAAAGACAAGATGAAATACAATTGACACTGCGGAATCAAACACTCCAGCTATTCCAGAAGTAATTTGTGTAATATGAAATGCTTGACATATACGACACCTCTCATTTCTTGTCCTTTGATAGGGAGCATCCCGGGCCCCATTGCTTTTGGGTCGATGATTGACAAGTCGTGTCTTCTGTGGCAGAGTCAATGTGGTGAACAAGGATCTTGTTATGTCTATCAAAACTCCTCCATGAGTCGATATACCCTGATCGCTGGTCTGATATTCAAGGTAATTCCGGATTATAGCAACAACAATAGCAGACTTCTACTGTATAGATTTATATACCGCTTCATAGTGCTTTACAAATGAGACACGATGGCTCAGTGGCTAAGCTTGTCGATCGAAAGGTCGGCAGTTTAGCGGTTCGAATCCCTAGCGCCGCGTAACGGGGTGAGTTCCCGTTACTTGTCCCAGCTTCTGCCAACCTAGCAGTTCGAAAGCATGTAAAAAATGCAAGTAGAAAAATAGGGGCCACCTTTGGTGGGAAGGTAACAGCGGTCAGTGAACCTTTGGCGTTTAGTCTTGCCGGTCACATGACCACGGAGACGTCTTCGGACAGCGCTGGCTCTTCAGCTTTGAAACGGAGATGAGCACCACCCCCTAGAGTCGGGAACGACTAGCACATATGTGCGAGGGGAACCTTTACCTTTACCTTAGTGCTTTACAAAAGGGGTCCCTAACTTTTGTTGGTTGGCGGCCTGGCTGGGGAGAAAGTGGGGCCCTCCACTCATGCCTGGTTGTGAATAGGCCACGCCACGATAATGTCCCATGGCCCACATGTTGGGCACCCCTGCTTCAACACCCTCTCGACTGTTTTACAGAGTCAGCATATTTCTCCCAACAATCTGGGCCCTCATTTTACCAACCATGGAAGGCTGAGTTAATCTTGAGCCAGTCAGGATCGAATTCCTGGCTGCGGGCAGAAGTTAGTCTGCAATACTGCATTCTAACCACCACGGATTCTAATTCTGCTCATATATCACTATAGCTTAATTAACGTTAAATAAAATGTCCCTTAAACTGAGCTGCCATGTAGATTATGGCAGCTCATTTAAGGAGACCTCGATACAAAACTCTTTTTCTTTTTTTTTATCTTATACATCCAACAAACATTTAATCTATAGCGGTCTACATCACAACGCGAGAAGGAAATAAACTTGTCCCATTACATATATAGGATAATGTACAAAAGTCTATTACATATACCAATTGACATGCTTATCCAATATCTCTATTTATAGCTCGATTTGACATCCAATTATACCATTGACTCCAAGATATATAGTAAACTGTGTCCCCCCTGTCCTTTCAGTAACATAGTAAGTCGATCTGATTCTGCACAATTCATTATTTTCTGAATTACTACTTGTTCGGGTGGGCTAACGTCCATCTTCCAGTATTGGGCCCATGCCAATCTTGCAGCTGTTGTTATATGCAGCAGCAGGTACCATGCCGTTCTATTAACATTTTCGGGTCTCATCCCTAATAAAAATACCTCAGGACGCAATTGTATATGTTGCCCCAACATTTCATTGAGCCACTTCAGAATATTCTTCCAAAATTTCATTGCCTCTCGGCAGGTCCACCGTACAAAACTCTTCTAAAGGGTAGTCCTTGACTTGCAACCATTCGTTTAGTGACCATTTGAAGTTAGAACAGCACTGGAGGGGGGGAAGCAGCTTATGAGCATGTTTCACTTATGACCGTTGCAACAGTCACATGATCATAATTGGGAGGCATGGCAGCTGGCACATACTTATGACAGTTGCAGTGTCTTGTCATCCATCACCTTTTGCAACCCGACAAGCAAAGTCAACGGGGGAAGCCCGGTTCATTTAACAACCGTGTTACTAAGGTAGCAAACGGGAGTGATTCACTTAAGAACTGTGGCAAGAAAGGTCGTACAATGGGGCAAAACTCACTTAAAAGCTGTCCTGTTTAGCAGCGGAAAGTTTGGACTCAGTTGTGGTTGCAAGTCAAAGACTACCTGTAGTTCGGTCAATCAGAAGAGAGCTGGAAGGGACCTTGGTGACCTTCAAGCAAACTGACAGCAAACAGCACTCCCTACTAGCCCTGATGATCTTACCTAGTTGGGTAATGAAATGTCTGCAACAAAACAAGCAAGCTCAGAGAGCACCAAAGACCCTTCATATCTATCTATCGTCTGTCTGTCTGTCTATCTATCTATCTATCTATCTATCTATCTATCTATCTATCTATCT